AAGATCCAAACCGCGACGCGCTCATTGATAAATACTCATCACAGATCAGGTCTGTCGAAAATCTCTTATCCTCAATACCGCCAGAGATCATCTCTAGGCGCGCTGTTGAATGTAAATCATTCTCCAAAGCACTTTTCCACTGGGAACAGTACATTCGAAAATCCAAGCTCCACGGCGAATTACAAGAGCGATCCAGCCTCGAGCCTCTATACCAAAGATTACAAGACATCTATAGCCAGATTGACGAACCTGATGGAATCGAAGGCATTTCAAGCCACTTGTCTGCACTTGATATTGACCAGCAGATCCTTGAGCACCGGAAAGCTGGGAGGTGGGCCACGGCGCAGAGTTGGTATGAGCTACAACTCGAGAAGGAGCCTGACAACGTCGATGCGCAATGGAATCTTGTGACCTGTCTCAAAGAATCTGGTCAACAAGGTAAGATCAAACATGAGACAGTTTTTGCATGCTCTATCGTCTTGCTCACCGTCATCTAGATGCTATTCTTACTCGTTTCGAGGTTCTTAAAGAAAACGAGTCAGCGGCTTCACGGTTCCTGCCTTTTGCGGTTGAAGCTTCATGGATAATGGGCAGATGGGACAAGCTAGAGGGTTATCTCGACCTTTGTGCCAAACAAGGAACCGAAGAGTTCAACGTTGGGATAGGCTCAGCTCTTGATGCTCTTCGTCAAAAGCAAGACGAGGCATTTACTGATAAAATCAACGAGCTCAGGCTCAACGTTGCCCGATCACTAAACACAAACTCGGTGGCATCACTACAATCATGCCATGACGACATGCTCCGGTTACATGCTTTGTCGGAGGTTGAATCCATTGCTAAAGCACAATCAGGTCAATCGCGCCCGGGCCTGCTGAGTACCCTAGACCGACGCTTGGATGTTTTGGGTGGCTACCTTTCCGATAAACAATACCTACTGGGGTTGAGACGAGCCACAATGGAGCTAACGTGAGTTCATGATCCAGAAAACATGAAACAGACAGCTAAAATTATCATACAGGGGCGAATTTGCAGATTCTGATATATCCGCTGCATGGCTCACCAGTGCTCGTCTTTCAAGGAAAGGCAATTTCAGCAGTCAAGCGTATCACTCGATGCTCAATGCAGCACGGTTGAAAGACAGATCTGCTTCCATCGAACACGCGCGACTCCTCTGGAAAGACGGACACCATCGAAAAGCCATTCAGACTCTAGAGGGTGCGATTTCTGCCAATGAAGGTACCCCGGGTACATCTTCTCCGGTCGAAATTGAAGCCATGTCGTTTCTCTCAGGTCGTGGGCAGCATCAGAACGAGTCTACTGCTCTTGTAAGTTACCGGATACATTCACATGGAAGTAGAATACTGACTCGTCTAGGCTCATCTTATGCTAGCCAAGTGGACAGACAGGGCTGGTCAGACGCACTCTCAGGCGATTGTTCAGAGATACCGGGAGGCCATCAAGCTGTATCCAAAGTAAGTTGAACTATCACTGGTAAGATGCGGTCAGTTCTAACGGGAAAACAGGTGGGAAAGGGCACACTATTACCTGGGGAAGCATTACAACAAAATTTTGGAGTCTGAGAAGGCCAAGCCCATGGGAAAAGAAGCCCAGATATAGTCAGTTATCAGATTTCTCATTCTCTACCTGATACTGACCAATATCACAGCCTGAGTGGAGAAGCCACAAAACTTGTCATTGATAACTATCTTCGCTCGCTAACATATGGGACCAAATATGTCTTCCAGACTTTACCCAAGCTTCTGACCCTCTGGCTCGAACATGCCTCGATTGTTGAACAGCCCATTGATCCAAAAAGAGGCGATAACGAGTAAGAAAGAGTTTACTGGTGTGGCCATTGGTAAACAATTGCTAATGGGCGGTTTACCACACACTAGGGAGTTTCAAAAGCATACACAAGCGCAACGCAAGAAGAGCCTTGATGAGATGCATGCACAACTGAAGAAATTCATCGACAAGCGCTTACAAGCGGCTCTGGTGAGTTTACGAGATGTGATTTTCCCGGAAAGCTCGCTGACGGTTTGTAGTTGTTCACAATTCTACCCCAAGTGGTTGCGAGGATCTGTCACCCTAACATCACAGTCTACGATCTGTTAACGCGGATTGTAGCCAAGGCGGTTCACAACTTCCCACAGCAAGGTCTCTGGACCGTCCTTGCCGTTGTCAAGTCCTCCAATAAGGAGCGAGCTAAAAGGGGATATAATTGCCTGCAGAAGATCATAGTAAGTACCGATCCGTCCAAAACTGAGTACAAGAGACTAACGTTGTTCAGGACTACGGTAACAAGTCAAAGGGAGAATCCTCAGCGGCGTCGGAAATCCGTCGCATGATCACTCAAGGTACAAAGTTCTCGGAAGAATTACTTCAACTATGCCTCGCTCCGGTGGAGGAAAAGTCATCTCGAGTTCAACTCGGTCGCAATCTAGGGTTTAATCATAAAGTCGCGCCATGCCGATTAGTGGTGCCTTTCCAGGCAATGTTGATCCCTAGTCTCCCTGCCAGTCAGAACATCGAATACATCAAAGGCTTCAGGGCCTTCCCTCGGGATCCAACAACTATTGAGGGTACGGTTTATCAACTTCCGCTTCCCGCAAAGACAAACTAACAGAAATTAGCTGTTTTGGATGAAGCACAGATTTTGAACTCGCTTCAAAAGCCACGCAAAATCAGCCTGCGAGGATCTGATGGGAAGATCTATAACGCACTTTGTAAACCCAAAGATGATTTGCGCAAGGATCAACGTCTCATGGAATTTAACAACATGATCAACCGGTTCCTAAAGAGAGACGTCGAATCAAGCAAGCGGCGCATGTGTAAGTGGTTTGATGAACTTTAGGCCATTCTAAAGGCTGACCCGGAACAGACATCAAAACATACGCCGTAACGCCTCTAAATGAGGAATGCGGTCTTATTGAATGGGTTGATAACCTCCGCACACTGAGAGAGATTGTCATCAAGTTGCTGCGCGAAAGGGGCATTTCACCAAACGTAGGTATACCACATCTAATACGGTACCTAGGCTATGTTATTAATGTGTGCAACAGTACAACGAGATCAGACATAATCTGAATGAGATCTGCGCCGATCGATCATTCGCAAAGTTACCCTTATTCACCACTAACATTCTGGCCAAGTAAATCTTCCGTGATATCACCCGTGATTCCACTATACTGACAGTTACAGGCTGCCGCCAGTTCTCCATGAATGGTTCATCGAGATGTTTCCTGAAACAGAGGCATGGTTTACAGCGAGACTGAGGTATACACGGTCTTCTGCTGTGATGTCAATGGTGGGATATGTCCTTGGGTATGTACTCTCTTTAAGGACTTTCTATCTGCTTTCGCCTATTGCCCCAGTTCCCACCATGCTAACCAGTTTTGTTTCCTATACATAGTCTGGGTGATCGACATGGCGAAAACCTTTCATTTGAGGAAGGAACAGGCGGCCTCCTACATGTTGATTTCAACTGTCTCTTTGACAAGGGTCAAACGTTCGAAAAGCCCGAGGTGGTACCATTCCGACTGACTCATAACATGATCGATGCCTTTGGCGCTTACGGCTATAATGGTCAGTTTGAAAGATATTCTCAAATTTTACTCTCACGCTAATCTCCGAGGTATAGGTCCCTTCAGAAGGACTTGTGAAATCACGCTCAGCCTGCTGCGACAGAATGAGGACGCCTTGATGACTGTACTCGAGACATTTTTGCATGATCCAACAACCGATTTCATTGGGAAGAGGGTGAGTACATTTCAATCCCGGTTCTCAACAAGTCAGCTCCTAACAAGTCTCTTTACTCCTAGCGTCGCACCCATGTGAATGTCCCGGACACACCAGCTGGTGTTTTGGAAGATGTTCGAAACAAACTCCGTGGCTTCATGTCTAAGCAGCCCATTGCACTTTCGGTGGATGGTCAGGTGGATGAACTGATCATACAAGCAACGGATAAGAAGAAGTTGGCGTCAATGTACATCGGATGGTGTTCGTTCTTCTGATGATTTATTTTCTTTTGGAGGTAATACATTCTATTCAAGTCATACATACAAAAGTGTAGTTTTTCCGTCTTCCGCTGTTATATTTGTTCCTACTGCTTGTGCCGTATGGTACCTAACTACATGTCTATCCTAATTCTTAACAACCGAGCATACATATCAGCTACATGGTGGAAGTAGCGCAAAATCCTGTAATTCTTACATTAAAAGTGGTAGTGGAATTTGCTGACTGTTGCCTAAACCCAGCTGTTTTGGATATCTTGCGAGAGAAATTCAGTTGCCCGCACCGAAGATCACGCGCAACCCCCCGTTGGTGCTGAACCAGTAAATAACAGGACAAAAGACCGCGAAGCGTTCAAAGCTTAATTTCGGTTGAGACCTCGGTTCCGGTTTGGGCTGCGACTTCGACTGCTGTAACCGTAGCTGCTGTAGCTTGGGCTCCGGCGTCGGTGATGCCGCGAGTCTGAGCGAGGGCTACCTCGGCGCGGCGGTGGTGACCGGGATCGAGATGAGTATGACCGAGAACGAACAGGAGATCGTGATCTTGATGCAGTCTGGGGTCTATATATGTCGTGGCGCTCTGTGGGTCGACTGCCTCCATGCCGTCTGGGCGGGGATGACGGGCCTGCATATGGCCCTCGGCCGTATCTTGGGCGACCGCCATTCCCTCGAATTGACGCAGGGGGTGGCGAGCGTGAGAATTTGCGGCGGGGGAGAACGATTGAGACATTCAGGATGGCCCCGTCAAGCTGAGCCTCATGCATGTGGGCAATGGCTGCTTCTGCGTCAGCGGGGTCGTAGTAAAGAATATACGCAGTCCCCCTATTTGTCATGACTGTAAGATTGTTAGGAAACAGACAAATCTCGAAGTGCGAGTCAAAAAGCGAGTCTTACAGGCTTTATTGATTGGAAGATCGAGATACTCTATCTCTCCAAAGCCCCCGAAGATCTCTCGGATGTGATTTTCTGTGACATTTTTTGTCAATTTTTCTACCACGATCTGTCGAGAAGGAGGGAAAGTCAGCTCTCTAAGTTGATAGATAAGGTAGTCACCACTGGTATCACAGGAATAGACCGGCACTTACCTTGGAACTTCTCGGAGGACTGGGGTTGGGAGTAAGTGAGCGGCTTTCGCTCCGGCTATTGTAACGTCGACCACCTCGACTGCGACTGCGACTGCGAGATCGAGTTCTTCCACGCGACGGGGATCTGGATCGGGTTTTTGAACGATAGCGATCGCGTCGTCCTTGCGATGGACTTCGGGTTAGGCTTCGGGATGGGCTTTCACTTCGGGGTTTTGAGCGACGTGGCGAACGCGACCGTGCTCGGTCCTGGTCCTGGTCCGGTGAACGTAGAGGTGATTGTCCGCGAGGTGATCTCAAGGACATGTTGAAGATTCAGCGCACGGCGCGCCAAATGAATCCCAGGGTTTGAAGTAGTACAAATTGAATATGTAGAGTTAAGCAATTGTAGATAAAACAAGAATTGAAATAGAAAATTCAAAAAGAGAAAGGAACTTGGAATACTAAAGAGAGAGAGAGAGAGAGAGAGGTTGAGGGAAGGGATATTCATTTTGGTACTAACTTGATTCGGTAATCACCTAGGGACACTTTATACGCACTTCAACTTCAAATCAAGAACTTTTAACTTTTATTATACAGTAAAGTCTACATGAATATGTATTTATGTATTTACCTCTAGCCCTCTCTCCATTTCTCATACTCTTGAATGACAGTATCGGTGATTTGCCGCCGCACTTGTCCAAGTGCATATTCAAAGTGTTTCCACTGCACATCTTGCTCCTGCTGTGTTTCCTCCTCCTCATCAAGTGCTGCATCTCCAGAGGTTTCACAGATGCTCACAATCTCAGCCCCAGAATAGCCCTCGGTCAGAGATGCCAGCTTATTCAAGTCGACTTCTGGGTTCACCACAGAGTTATTGGCCCAGATGCGTAAGATTTCTCGGCGCGCCTCAAAGTCCGGAGGGCCAATATACAGAATATTGTCCAACCTCCCGGGTCGCATCAATGCAGGATCTAAGACATCGGGCTTGTTGGTTGCAGCAATGACCAACACGTTTCGGAGCTCCTCGATACCGTCCATTTCGTTTAGCAAAGTCGTAAGAAGATTGACTCCTCCCGAACTACTGCTGCGTCGAGCAGCAATGGCATCAATCTCGTCGAAGAATATGATACTTGGTCGTGCTGCCCGGGCTTTTCTGAAGATCTCTCTCAATGATCGCTCAGACTCTCCAACGTACATGCTGAGAATCTCTGCGCCCTTGACTGCCAGGAAGTTCAACCCTGCCTCTGTGGCTAGGGCTTTGACCATCAGTGTTTTGGAACAACCTGGTGGCCCATACAATAAGACACCCTTTTTACTTTTCACGTTAAGTCTCTTCATCCGTTGAGGATGCTAGAGTTTTTTTAAAAAAAAAGAAATTAGTCTTCAAAGCAATGGTTCTCTGGGATTCAAATACAGATCTTACCTTCAAGGGTCGCTCAACGGCTTGTTGAAGGCGTTTTTTGATATCATGCTGTCCACCGATGTCTGACCATCTCACCTTTGGGGTTTCCAAAAACACTTCCCGCATGGCCGTGGGACGGATTTCCTGCAGGGAAAGCAGAATATCTGCTTCTTGTATCTCCAATGAGATGGCCGATTCATCATCGATGGAACCTCCGTGGTGCCAGCTATATGGGTCGATCGGGTCCACCGATATGGCTGTGGTATTCTGTCCTAGCAGTTCTCGTCGTCGGGCTTTGCGGCAGACCAATTGCAGAAGGGCGAAAATGTCAGCTCCAACGTATCCGTGCGTCTTTTCTGCTAGTAGTTCCACAAGCTCGTCGGTCAAACCGGCAGATACTGGCCCACGAATCGCATGGAGTATCTCAGCTCGGTCCTGAGCGGTAGGGACTTGTATCTCAATTTCTGTCCCAAGTCGATGGGGCGTTCTGAGGGCGTCATCGACTTGATTGGGGTTCCTCGTTGCGGCCACCACGAGGATCGATGTATTTCGGATAGCATCTAGATTCTCGCAAAGGACAGACGCAAGGGACTGAGACTCAATTGAGGCTCGCTTGGGGGCAATAAATTCCAACTGGTCGATGATGATCACACTGGGGTTAGAGCGAGCCGCCTCCTGGAAGATATTGCGCAGCTTAAGCTCGCCCTCGTTGATACTTCTGCCCAACGTTGACATGTCGATTTTGAATGTTTGTTTCCAGCCAGCCTTCTCGATCTGTCCGAGAAGACTTGTTTTGCCAGTCCCCTTTGGTCCATAGAGTAAAATCCCACGGGTGTTCTCGTAGAATGATGGCATCGCCGGCTTCCGCGGATCAATGTTAAAGTCAGACAAGATTTCATTGATGTCGTCAATCTGGCGGGATAGGCCTCCAAGACCGGCAGATTGCACCGCTATACCTGATGGTTTTTCTTCTTTTCTTTCTGTGACTGGGCCAAGGGAAACCTTGGAAGCCTCTGTGAATTGAAAAAGGGTATGACTAGAGTGAGGGCTCTGTGAACGTATGTTAACCACTCGGAAACTCCTGAGTTGGCCCTTGAGCTCCAGTTCAAAAGCCAAGCCCGTGGTCAAACACCCGCATCGGAGAAGCTTTTCCTCCAGGGCCCATTCCCAGTGGGATCTGTCGCTTTCTGAAATTGAGCCATGTTTGGCAATTTTCTCGGGGTCTGAACAATCCGCCAATGTCACTAGGTCGATGTTTTCTAGGGAGCCTTCAGCCCTGGTGATAGAAACTTTCTCTCCGATCTTGATGTCATAGCAATCCTGAAGTGTCCTTGATATTTGCACGACTGTGCTCTGGATATTCTCTGACGCGTACCATGCTATGACAGTCTGCGGTGGGCCATCCCCTTGTTTCAGCATGCAGATGCTCTCTGTTTGAAGCCTTAGACCAGCTAGCGAAGTGGAAGATAGATAAACACGAAATGCATCTTTCAGGTCCTTCCGTGCCTGCTGCTTTGACAATGGACGGGCAGTGAAAAGGCGGGTTTCAGACATGATAGAAAGTGTCAAGAAAGTTGACTTCGGAGATATATTTTTTGCTCTCTCTTTCTCTCTCTCTCTCTCTCTCTCGGATATGTTAAAAAGCTTGGATTATTTTACTGCATTAAAAAAAAGAAATCTCCCGAGTTTTTTTTTTTTTTTTTGGGGGAGGGGCAACTCCGAAAAACAGATCCTCGAAAGGATGTCGATTTGAAAATATAAGAGGAAAGAGAGAGATTTAAGGTAAGAGAATAATCCAGATATATATTTATATGTATATATACATGTAAATATATTCTTATTGCCTTTTGGGCTGTTATATGATTTAACTTGATTCAAAGAGTGTGTCATCTATTTTTATATCCAAAGTTTATATATGTACGGTCTAAACCTATAGAGATATATAGATTGAATAAAATGTTATAAACATAAACTACGGTATCAAAAAAGAAAACAGCATATGGACAAATTTGTATGATACTCGGATGTTCATGCCAACTTCTTCAGGCATAAAACTTGGACATTCAGATCTTGGCACATAATGTAACAAAACAAAAACAAGAGAAACCAGAGAAAAGAGGGGAAATAAGAAACATGTAGCTTAAAGCACGGGGAGATTGTGGACAAACAAAAAGACAAAAGGGTGATACAACTAACAACACTTGCCCCCAGAGTTGCCATTCAAACCGGAGCCTTGCTGGTCTATATTAACGCCCTGAGAACCAGATTGTTCAGTCTTGGAGGTGTCCATCCCTTTCTTGATATCCGATGCAAGGCTATAGAATGCCTTCTCAATGTTGATGTTGTTCTTGGCCGAAACCTCGAGGAAGGGAATACCGAGTTCATCGGCGAGCTGTTGGCCTTGTTCAGTAGAAACCGCCCTTTTCTCCTCCCAGTCGCACTTATTTCCAATGAGAATCTTGTGTACACCTTCACTAGCATGTTGCTCGACGTTTGAAAACCAGGTCCGGATGTCTACATAAAATGGTCAGCGACACACATTTAACTGGGAAAAAGGGAGAGAGTCCTACTTTGGAATGATCGTTCATCTGTCACATCATAGACTAGCAGAATACCCATGGCACCTCGGTAGTATGCCGTCGTGATAGTGCGGAAGCGCTCCTGGCCTGCAGTGTCCCAGATCTGCAACTTCACCCTCTTGCCGTCCAACTCGATCGTACGAATTTTGAAGTCAATCCCGATTGTAGTGATGAATGATGGAGTAAAGGAGTCTTCGCTGAATCGCAACAGACAACATGATTTACCCACGCCCGAGTCCCCGATCAACAACAGTTTAATCTATGATAAAGTTAATGCTGGGCTTTTTTGGGGAGAAATTTGTGCTTTGAACGGATACTGACCAGGAAATCATAATTCCGTGTGCCAGCCATTATGGATTATGGCGATATTTGGGTAGAAGTGAAGCGCGCCGAAGCTAGCAGCACGAAGATGGATAGGAGAGGTGATCCGGAAATTCGTCAAGTCGGGTGACAAGAGGTATTGGTTTTGATGAAGTGGTTTGGGGGTAAAGCAGAAGAGGTAGATGTTGCTGCAGGATGAATCGGAGCAATCAGAGTGGTTTAGGTTGATGGGTTTCCCAAGATGCCCCGAGGACTTATCAGGAGCTTTTGTCAAGTACTGGAACTGATCCAGGCTGATAAAAAGGAGGAAAGGGTAGATTTCTTAAGCAGAGATCCACAGCCAAGCATGAGCTAAAGATTTTGGAGTGTTTTATGGGAAAGGAGGTCAAATGATGCACCTGGAGGTGATGACGGGTACCGCAACTACGGTAAGGAGGAAGTTATGTAAGCAATCGGACTGGAGTATATTCCAAGGTCATATTATATTGGAATATATTGGCATATGAATTCATAAATATATTCATGTTAAGCTATTGAATATAAAAATTGGAAGTTTCAAGTATCATGTGTCTTGTACATTTTTAAGGCTCAACCATAGAAGATACTATAGCTGCGGAAGTGATTTGTGTCAATATGTGACCCTCTAATATTTCATATTAATCTATAAAAAACAATCGAGTACTTGGGAAATAACTAGGTTGTCACATCTATTGGAGATATGCCCATCTCATCCTTTCGATCACGCGAAGTTGCTTGTCCACTCCATTCTGAACATTCAAAAGATCTTGGATGTCTTCTCGAAACTCTTCGTACTGCATGCTTCCAGGAATTATCTTCACGTGTTGAAGGAGAGCCTCTGCCTCACAGATCAATTGTCCAGAATCCTTGTAAGCGACAGTCCCATTGGATAAAACCTCAGAAGAAGTCAAAATGCGGGCCACATTCCTGCATGTTTGAGATTAGCCATGTGAAAAGTTATAAGCCAGTTCGAGAACATCATACCGCAATCCACGTTTTAGTTCATGTCGCTGCTTGCCCTTTCGCAATCCTCGTCGGCTGCCGAGAAGGCTACCTAGCCACCTCATGGTCGCAAAGGAAACCAAAATTCCAGGAGTCAACCCAACAAATCTAAATAACATCAATGATTAGAGAATAAAAGGGAGCAGAAGACCAAACAAGGGGCACACATACCCAAATACAAGCTCCTGGCTCTTCAGCAAGGCATCGATACCACTGATGGCAATTTCCACGTCGACCTTCGTCTTCTGGATCTGGATCAGGAGGGCACGAATGAGATCGCCTCTAACGGTTCCAACAAATGGTGACCGCAGGTCCCTTTCATATGCTTTTAGAACGGGGGTCAAATCACCCTCTTTGACAGAATTCACGATGGCAGTGGTATCCGCCACCACACCCTGGTGAAGATCCGGGCGATCGCGGACAAAGTCTACTACCATTCTCTCTAGACTCGCTCGATCGGCCAGCAGGCTATTCTTGCTCATTATCGCAATCTCGCTTTTTTCGTCATGTCTGATTGTCCCAATGAGTTTTCGGATTGGGTGCACAACCCAGTTACCCCAGAAATCGATAGTGGTGGAACCGATATTGACAATCGACTGGATGATCTCCTCACGTCGGTTGGTCAAAAATCTCATTGATGCGCTTCCTGAAAGGAGAGCAGCTGAGACCGGTAACCAATAGCGGACTATGCGTGAAGGGCGCCCGTGGCGACGAATAAATAATGACATTGAAGTGGTATGGTTTGGCAACTTCTCTCGAAGAATATGCACAAGTCGCTCAATCAAATCCAAAGGTTTATGCATTGAATTCCCCCCTGTGTGTGCATTCCAATGTTGTTAATATCCCTCTCCAGAGTGGCAAGTACTCCCTGTTCCAATTCGTGAGTGCTAGGCTCAAGTGCTATCTGCTGAAAAATGGCTTCGATTAGAACCACTGCTCTGTGAATTGCATCGCACCATTGTGCATTGATGGTCCCGGGGTATAAACTCGCAGAGTCATTCGCTTCAAAAAGATGCCATCCCTCCATCACAAGGCCAAGGCTGCTGGTATGGAGGTCTTTCATTTCCAGGAGCAAGTCTCGTTTCTGTCGCATTTCTGCCCGAGATGATCTAATTGGGGATAGCAATTTGGCGCGTATGGAGTGTCCCCCGAGTTTCCACGCACTTTGGCGGGCAATCTGGTAAAAGCGGGTCCACCTAGCAGTGATGGATGGGGCTCCTTGATAGGTCTGAGCGACGCATGCATCCTTCGTCCACCGGCAGAATTGCGCTGGCGATTTCTGGACGGCATACAGACCGCTATACCAGACAGATCCTAGCATCTCACCCCAGTAATAGGTCTCATCATGAAGTTGGAGTGTTTGATCCAGGAGGGTGTTCATGACCAGTCCTGATGCCTGAATGGCAGCCTTTGCAGTCACTATCCAGACATAGTCCGAGAGTGGTGCACTATTTCCTTCGCCTAAAGTGGTCTGTACTTGGAGGCGAGAGAAAGTATCCGAAAGTAAGTCTGCCAACCGATTGGGAGAGAGAAGGGATTGGGTCTTGGAAGTCACCGAAATCGAGTTGATGAGATCTTGCAATTGACCGATTGACTCAAGAGATTCGGTGGATAAATCCGTGGCGTCGAACCTCTGCGAGCTGGCAGTCTGTTGTTGAAGGCGATCAAGCTGAGCGTTGATGCCACAAACAGTTCTGTGGGAAAAACAATTTGAGTATACAGTGTTGGTTTTGTTTTTCGGGGATTATGTCACACTCACTCTCGTATAACAGACATCCCAGGATCTTCCAATGAGGTATACCCTCAAAAGCTGACCATAGTACCTGGGAGAGGTACCTTTTATGGATATTGTAGGGAATAACAGAAGGAATTAAGGTTGATGTCGTCATGCGTAGAGTTTGTAAACAGCGTAAACAGTGCAAACTGTATAAATATATATAAATATAAATATACACAAACTATACAAAGTGTGCAAAGTGTGTAAACAGTGCAAACAGTGCAAACAGGAAGCCTACACAGTTAACTAGAGAACACATAACTAGTTAGTCTAGATGTTGTACATAGTTCCGAAGCCAATCTCAAAAAAGAAGAAGTCAAAAATATAATCAAATCGTAAAATTTATGGAGTATATAGCAATATAGGAGAGTTTCAACCAACCAGAAAGCAGTAAATTCCATCTTACCTGATTTTATGCCGGTGGGGTGATCTCGGATATCGGCTTACCAGTGGCCTTACCCCTACGTTCAGGGGGGGAAAAAAAAGTTGATCTCGCCACATCGGGATTGGACTATCCTTTATCTCGTAATATTCTCCCTTTTTCTTTTATAACCTCTTGACTCTGGCTTTGGTTCGGCGTCTATCTTCCCCTTTTCTTTTTTTCTTTCTTCTTTTCTTTCTGCTTCCTGAACCCTGATTTCTGGTTTCTGGTTTTCTCTTTACTTTCTGAGAACAACAACCTTGATAATGTACAGTGATCATGTCCTTTACCTGTCATAGTCCCTAACATCCCTTATAGGAATTCAACAGTCTTGTCCTCAGGGACATACTGGGGCCAATTCGAGGAGATTGGCAAATACAATGCCGACCTGAATGTGGCAGAGAGGTTGTGGGCAGCCTGGTACGCTTGGATGCAGAATGATGTCCTGGCCACTGGAATTATGTCATTCGCCATGCATGAAATAGTCTACTTCGGTCGCTCGCTGCCATGGATTTTCATCGACACATTGGGCCTATTCAATCGTTACAAGATTCAGGGTGTAAGTAGCACCCCTTCAGTCCATTGGGCCACCTCTAATAACATGCAGAATAAGATTCCATCGCTACGGGAACAGTGGGATTGCGCCAAATTCGTCCTCTTGAGTCATTTCACTGTCGAACTGCCCCAGATCTGGTAAGAATTGAATATCTCCCACATTTTGTAATTTTTGAGTATCTAACGTGCATGCTAGGCTCTTCCACCCCTTGGCACAATTCTGTGGACTCTCAACTTCGATCCCATTCCCTACCCTTTGGACCATGGCATATCAGATTGCAATCTTCTTTGTGATGGAGGATACCTGGCATTACTTCTCCCACCGGGCTCTTCATTGGGGTCCCCTCTACAAGGCCATTCACAAAATTCACCACCAGTACTCGGCTCCTTTCGGCTTGGCTGCTGAATATGCCTCGCCGATTGAAGTGATGATTTTAGGTTTCGGGACTATCGGGTGCCCAATCGTTTGGTGTGCTATGACAGGTGAACTGCACATTCTTACCATGTATATCTGGATCGTCTTGCGCTTGTTCCAGGCCATTGATGCTCACAGTGGTTATGAATTCCCATGGAGTCTTCACCATTTCCTTCCATTCTGGGCTGGTGCCGATCACCACGATCTCCACCATGAGAAGTTCATCGGCAACTATTCCAGCAGCTTCCGGTGGTGGGATTATGTTCTTGACACAGAGTACACCCCAGATGCGCTGAAGCGCCGAAGGGAAAACAAGGCGAAGGTTTCAAAGGCCCAGTAAGCAGCTTGCATGTTTACCTTTCTTCGTGCACGTTATTCTTGCCTTCTTGAATGCCTATTCGGGTATTTCTCTGCGGTGTTCGGTCCTGGATATCGTCCAATGAGTGTGTAATTTCTCATGATACTTATTATCTTCAGGATAGTAATGTGATAATGTATTTAATATTTCAATGCGCCTTGTGATAGGATGAGCCATTCTATATCTTCAATAGAACCACTATCAATAATATATTCTTATTGCCTAAGAACGGTTACCCAGGTGGCGTACGAGTATAATGGTAATATAACATGATAATTTTGAACAATAATTCACAAACCACAATTGTGTTTAAATAATAATTATAACCATTAGTTAGTAGCATCTATGAGTCAGTGTGAGAGATGAGCCTATAGATCTACGATGGAATGTAGTATGTATGCTCTGGAAAATCTCAAGTTGTGTGGAGAAGAAAGAAACCATCTATGGTGCTAGAGACTAAAGTAGTTAAAGTAAATAGTGAGGTTATGTTACCGGCCAGTTCTTATAGGAAAAGAGTGCACTTCAACTAAAATACTAAGACTAGAGAAGGAAAGCAAAGAGAGAAAAGCATGAGTGGGATGATATGTTTATGGGTCCCCGCTGTAAAGAATGCTAGGTTTCAGGCCAGCACCTGTTGACTAGGCGAGTGATTATAGTGGAGGGGGATAAGTTATTAATCTAATCTATAGCTTCCTATATATCGCTAAATAATATATTGCTTACTAGGGGCGGAAGTATAGACTAGGGGTATACTCGCTCGGAGGATGTGAGAGGTTATGAGAGGTTATAGGGGTAAAATGGTAGGAGGGTAAATTAATAGATAAAAATTTAAAGGATAAAACTAAAGAAGTAAAAATAGAAGTAAAGATAAAGAGTAAAATTTAACTATTATAGTTATTATAAAATCTCACTAATAAATTATTTAAAACTACTAGGATTTTTCATCCTTTTTTCTCTTTATTAAAATAGATAGACCTCATAACCGCCCGCGAGCGGCCCTCTAAGGGCCGCATGTAGACCCGCACTTTTACGGGCGGAGGGTAGGCGACGCCTGCCCGTGGGTCGGGCAGGTTATTTTCTTACCCTTAGAGGGCGGCCCTCTAAATATCTTAAGGGCCGATAAATAGGATAAATAGGGAAATCCCTAGAGTTATATAAAATATATATTTCTTAGCTATATTATTTAGTATTGAGTTTATAGCTTAGTATTATAGAAAATAAATATAACTAGGAGTAATCGTTTTAAACGGGCTTGTGAGTAATTTAGCAGATAGAATATTATAGCCTAATAGTAGGTTATAATATTTTATATTTTATAGAGGAAGGAATATCTTATATAATATGATTATATAAGATATAGTATTGAAGGTTATACTTATCCTAAATAGGAGATAAAGATATATGTATATGGATGAGAATATATTAAGAAGTATATTATTATTCTATTAGAGAGTAGACTGTCACCCTTTTTATAGACATTTTAGGAGGCAAATATAAGATAATATAAGATATCATATTATCTCACGATTTATGGCGATTTAGAAGTGAATCATAATATAGTTTACCACTATTAGTATATCCTTAGATATAGTAATAGTTACCAGTAATTTATATATGATATCCTTCACACCATTATACTCTACTATAATATACTATTATACCAAGATGCCCCCTTAATCCTTATATAGTTATATAGGGATTATTGATATATAGTATTTGCTATAAAGTCTCATTAAAACCAGTATATGATCAAAACCTTTTAGGATAAAATATTATATTTAGAAAGAGTGCTTTATAACTCCTTTTTATCCTTTATATTATCTAGTCTAGCTAGATTAATTAAGGACTTATGTAGAGTATTATTGACATTCTTAGTTAAGAAGTCAGTAAGCATATATTTAGAAGGTATTTGGGTTATTTTAACCTTTCCTTCTATTATAGCTTGTCTTATAAAATGGTATATAATTTCAATATGTTTTGATTTCTTATGAAATTCAGGATTCTTAGCTAATTTCTTAGCTGAATTATTATTAACTAAGATTTCTGGTATACTTATAGTATATCCTAGTTCTAGCTGTATATTTAAATCATTAAATATATTAGCTAGATATATAGCTTCCTTAGTTGCTTCTTTTAAAGCCATATACTCTGCTTCGCAGGTACTAAGTGCTATAGTCTTTTATAGTTAAGAATTCCAGCTTATAGGATTATTTAACCCTATATCTAGGGATAGGCTAAATATATAGCCAGATATAGATTTTCTTTGATCTAAATCATTACCCCAGTCAGAGTCTGAATAGCCTTTTATATATAGGTCTTTTCCTAAGCAGTTATATACTAATCCTAAACAAGGATACGCTAATAGATATTTCTATATCCTATTAAGAGCTATAAAATGCTCTTTACTAGGATTACTCATATATCTAGCGCAGTATATAGTAGCAAAGGTTATATTAGGCCTAGTTTTTAGGGCTAAATAGAGTAAAGACCCTATTTGTTTTTGATATTCATTAATATCTTCAAGGCTTGCATTTATATCATTCTTTCTTAATTTTAGCCCCGGTTCTCCCGGTATTTTAATAGGCTTATAACTAGGATTATTATATATCGAGAACTTATTTAATAGTTTCTCTATATATCCCTTTTGGTCTATAAATAGTGTTTGAGTCTGGTAATTAATATTGATATTATTACCTAGAAACATAGACACTATACCTATTTCTTCTATTTTAATATAGTTGCTAATTTTAGCTACTATATTACGTATATAGCTTAAATCTTTATATATTACTAATATATCATCAACGTGACATATTAATATACATTTATCTTTAGGATTTATATATATTCCCTCATCATAAGGGAATACCCTAAAGTTAAATTTAGCTAATACGTTAGATAGGTATTTATACCAGAGTCGTAGGCTCTATTTTAGACCATATAATGCTTTCTTTAAATAACAGCATTTATTAGGGTTATTATATACTCCTTTAGGTAAGGTAGTATATATATCAGCATCTATAATAGTATATATAAATGCGTTTTTAACGTCATATTGTAAGATTAGCCAACCTTTATTAACTGCTATTATTAATAGTAGATACTAGGACTTAGTTCTATATATAGTAGAAAAGGTCTCTAGGAAATCAACCCCTAGTTTTTGGTGAAATCCTTGAATTACCCACCTAGCTTTATATCTAATAGTTTTATTACTATTAGTTATATAATCCTTATCCGGATTAGGATTATT